CCGTCGCTGCCGGTAACGACAACGCCGATGCTTGCAACTACTCTCCCGCTGCTGCCTCTGAGCCCGTTACCGTCGGCGCTTCTGCCCTCGATGACAGCCGTGCTTACTTCTCCAACTACGGAAAGTGCACTGACATCTTCGCCCCCGGCTTGAGCATCCAGTCTACCTGGATCGGCTCCAAGTACGCCGTCAACACCATCTCTGGTACCTCCATGGCCTCTCCCCACATTGCTGGCCTCCTGGCCTACTACCTGTCTCTCCAGCCTGCTACCGACTCTGAGTTCGCTGTTGCCCCCATCACCCCCAACAAGCTCAAGAAGGACATCATCTCCGTCGCCACCGTCGGCACTCTCTCCGACATCCCCTCCGACACCCCCAACCTGCTCGCCTGGAACGGTGCTGGCTGCAGCAACTACAGCCAGATCATCGAGGCCGGCAGCTACACTGCCAAGCCCAAGGCCAACAAGACCAAGCTCCCCGCCACCATTGAGGAGCTCGAGGAGGCCATCGAGGGTGACTTCGAGGTTGTCTCTGGCAAGATTGTCAAGGGTGCCAAGACCTTTGGCTCCAAGGCCGAGAAGTTCGCCAAGAAGATCCACGACCTCGTCGAGGAGGAGATTGAGGAGTTCATCTCCGAGCTTTCTGAGTAAGAATCTCGAAGCACATATATTATTATTTCCTTATTTTGTTGTAATGGCCATAACGTGCCGATGAGATTATCAAGTACGAGGGTTCATGGATCGGTACTAGGAGAGACTTGTTTTTGTTTTGGGTATTTGGCATGCACTATGGGCGTGAAGCCACGGGTTTAGTATGGAATTTTGCCATTGACTCTGTATTCTACTGCACGGTCCTACGTTCATCAGACGGAATGCTTGTACAGGAGTATTATATAATTGATAAATTTGCTTGTTACAGCACAATATCTGCGCACTATAACTGCTTGCATCTGTGATTCACTTCGTCCCATTGACTGCTGTTTGTAATTGACAAAATGCCTTTGTTCAACATACGTAGGCGAGCTACATTCTGCATGTACTTGGCCCCTATCTTGTTTAGCATCGAACTGTAGGACTAACTACTAACCTTTTTGCTGTGTTTGGGCGTCACTTATATTCTCGAGACACAACAATAACATAACAGAAGTTAAACATGTGCTGAGCATCTCTACAGTGACAATCTTTAAAGTATCAGCCTTTATTCATCCTCAGTTAAAGTAAAGCAGTCTACTTAGATACCTAGGCACCACCAATCTGGCAGTTCAAAACTTAAACGGCCGCCAGCTGCCAAAACCCAAACACTCACAACACAGGCAAGAGCAAAGGGGTGCAAAACAGGCTCTTGCTATATACTCTAGCAAAATGGATTCTTCCGATACAGGAGACGTCATCGTCACTTCTTTCCTCACAATAAACAACAGACCCAACAGACCAAAATAAAGAAAAACTTCATCCATCCATCGAGCTCTTTTGACTCCTCGGAAAGTCACATCCAAACCATCTGAATCTTATACTTCTCGCATACTCAGCCCATCTCATTATCATAACACCCATCATCGTCATCAAACTGCACATACTGTTCGATTCAATCACGATAAAGGCAACATCTTTGCGCAGCCTCGTCGAAATCCGCAGCCGCGATAATGCTTCGCAGGAACAGCTGCAGAAGCCAGAACCGCCCCCTGAGCAGGAGCAGGTCGTCCGCCTCGATCGTGCGAAACCCAGTCCACGAACTCACGAGCATCGAACCTTATGTCGCCGAGCGAGACGCGTATCTCGCCGCAACTCTCTCGTACAACAGAGCCCAGCCACCAAACAATGGCGGCGGAAAGACTTCACGCTTGCAGCGTCAACAGAGCGTGAGGTTCGTCGGCCCCAACGCCCAGCCGCAGAGAAGATTAGCCACCCGAGCAAGCATGGCCTTGGTGGGCAACATAAATATGCCACGGCGTCCGGCGGGCTCTGACTCTCACCATCTTTCTTCTCCATCGTTTGAGCCACGGGAGGACGCTGCATCATTATCATACGCGAGACTACGCAAGTCGAGATCGATGTATACTCCTTCAATAGCAAAGACTCCAAACTATCCGATGGAAAACAGCGACTACCCCGACATGTTCAACGGATGGTTGCCGACGCCGCGATATTCGTCGCTGGTCAGGAAAGAAAACGAACCCTTTCGGAGCTCTGGTGGACCGACGCTGAGAACACCCAAATCCATGGGCTTCCTCTCAAGTGACTGCGAAAGATCCATGTCTCGAGACAGTATCAGTAGCGGTCATGAAACTGTCCAGCGGACACAGAACAGGCTTTATGAGCCGTCAGAGCGCTCTAGTCGCCTACAAAGCCGGCCATCGAGTTTCTTTCAGTCGAGTTACAGGCACGCTCCGAACCCGACTAGCTTCCCCAAATCTCTCCGGGGTAGCAGCAACAACAATACTTCAGTCCTCTCTTCAGAACATGTTTACGGTGCCAATTTTCCTCCTATTATTCCTTCACAACCACCAGGATTGCGGACAAAAGCTCGCAAAATCTCCAAATCACTCAAGAGTAGGCTCAAGGGGTTCTTTAGTCGTCCCAAGAATAGGAATGACCTTGCGGACCAAACTGGAGAGCATCCCCAGGACCTTGAGTCGGATGATGGCAGCTGCTACCGTGCCCAGACACCAGCTCAGCTACCTCAAGAAGCATCATTATATCGCGTAGTCTCCCACATGCCTTCTTTCCATGCCGTGCCACCTAGTCAACAGCCCAGGTCACGGCAGGCCAGTTTGGGAACCATTGAAGCTGAAGACAATGCACTCGACGACGATAAATCACGAGTCACTAGCTGGACCAACTCTACAGCAGACACAATTGCAAATCGTCCAAGGTCTGCAAACTGGAGTCGGCAATACCCGTCTGACTTTCAACAAGGCGGCACGGAAGCTGGGTTCTCATCTCACAACCAACCCTCGATGCATCACAATAACGTGTCACATGCCGGCCCCATAGTCAATAGTGACCGCGTGTACTCGGCACTCATGAAGAGACTAAGGGGGACAAATGGGGATCAAAATCAGTTATCGGGCAAAGGCCAGGGGCCCCGAGATTCTGTCGAGACAAATTCACTCCGAAGCACTTCGACAATAAGACGGCAAGCCCGCCAGCCCACAAATGAAGGATCCGCTCATACAATCCGCCATGTTCAGTACGAGGACGACATTTTCCAAGATAGTACCGAAGGGTCGACCGCATCGCACTATTCTTCGGAATCTACAAAGAGCGTCATTAGACGGCATCAATCCTCAGACTCACTGCAAAATTACGGCCATGAGACCTGCCCCAGCCCGGGATACGGCCAAGGATCAGGATTGTCCCCTAACAGGAATGACATGAAGCCACTTGCCGCTGGCGAATCCCAAAAACGAACGCTCTCTGGACGAAGCTCGGCCTTTTTCGCTAGTCCGACATGCCACCTATTCCGTACGACCAGTCCGTATCGTCGGGCTCTGCAAGAAAGCATGAAAGCCGCCCAAGCAGACGATCAGCTCCAAACGCCCAACGCCAAAGATCTCAGCTCTCTGTCTGGGATTAGCTTACCTACGCGCCGTCCAAGCACAGAAGATGATTCCGATGACGATGTGCGAGTGGCAGTGGCATACGCAGAGAGCGTGTACTCCAACTCTAGTGAAGACAATGCGCCCCATGTTTATAGCACCTCGTCTGCTTTGAGATCAACAGAAGACGAGCCAGGGCACCAAGTTCACGGAGATGCCACCATTTTTATCAACACAGAAAGACGGCAATTGCCACCCGCATGCCATACCCGAGATAGCTCTTCAGCCAGCTCTGTCGAGTGGAAGACGTGGCTAAGCGCCAATGTGTCTAAGCTGGAGACGCCTCCAACGACACTGAAACCTGATTTCCCACAAGAGCCTTCATCCGCCCCCCAGGATTTTAGTCATGTCAGGGAGAAGGCAGAGATTGAGACGGGGATTGAGTCTGATGCGGACGATTATCTTCAAGTTACAGCATGTGCGGGTCTTCCACCTAAGCAGGCGCCAAACAAAGATTATCGTGGTCCCTCTGTCTTGGCAGCGATGGCAAGAGAACAATCTTTCCTTGCGAATCCCTGGCAGCCCAAGTCTACGACCACCAACGAAAACTCACCACCGGTATCAGGGGCACGACCCAAAAGCCTATATTGTAAAGACGCCTCGCCCATGGCTGCAACAGACAATCTACGCACCATCCCTTCAGTGCCCAACGTCAACACTTGTGTAGCCAACCGTGATTCGTTGGTGATTGAGCCGCGAACATCCTCTCTCAACACATGCTCTAGGCCATTCGACCCCCTTTTAGAAGAGGCGCGCGGCCTCAAACGACGGTCACGAACTCGCTTGAGAGCATACGACGGGTCGGCCAAGTCCAGCCCAGGCTTTACTTCCGCTCTTGAGAGGCAGTTTGGGGTTAGTAGGACAGGCTCACCACGGGTATGGAAGGCGGAGGAGTCGTCAGGCGAACTTGGGTCAGAAGCAGACCCGGGGATTGATGAGCTGGGGCGTCGAGACTTTGACGCGCAGGCCATGGGAAGCAGGAGGATGGTGGACTTGTTTCTGAGCAGCCGGCAGCAGAGAGTTGCGGGTAGCCAGACGCGACAAAGCAGCGATAGTCTGTCAGCTGCCTTTGTCTAAGTTGAGAAGGAGTATGAGAAGGGGGGTGAATTAGAGCATATATTATTTCTGGATGCTGCATGATTTAGAATGGCAGGTGTTAGTGTTGGCAAAGCAAAAAGTCGATATTGCTGAGTTCATGACTTATTATAACTAGGTAGTCTAGGTAGCCAGGCCACAGAGACATGGTTTTAATAGAGGCTAGATGGAATCTCTGCAGTTTCGATGTTGACTTTATGTGCGTAACACGCAAGATTTACTATCGACGTTTCCAAGTTCAGTACTTGTTCTTTATTCTGACCGAACCACGTATTCGTACTCTCTGGATACCAGTAATAACAACAGTTCAAATGCTCGTGGGTTCTTCCGTAGTATGTATAAACTCAATTATCCTGCCCAGGGCCTGTAAATCGCCTTCCTTCGTCCCCGCCAATCCACGCTCAACCCAGCCCTCGGTATACCCTCCCCCAAAATCAATTATCCAAGCATCATCATGCTCGTCAACCAACACATTGGCGGGCTTGGCATCTCCCCAAATAATTCCTGCGTCGTGTAGCCGAGTGAGGGTATCGCCTACCTGAGTGGCCCATCGGTTGCGCAAGTGCTCGGGTGTTTCTGGCTTTACGGCACAAAAGAGCGTCACGTGGCCGCAATCGATGTATGTGAGTAGCAGGCCGTATATTATTACTTCCTGGTCATCTCTGCTTTGGACTAGGCCGATGAGGCGTGATATTCGGAGGGATTTGTCGAGGTGGGCGTTGTGTATCTCGCGGTACGTTGAGATTTCATGGAGTAAGATGGATTTATCTCCCGGGTCTGTGAGCTTCAGATACGCAGTGGTTCCATCGTTTAGAAAGAACTTTCCTTGGGGTATGTGATGGACCGGCGCCTATTTGTTCATTACTTGTCCTGATTTCTGACGGTTTGAATATTGGCCATGGCGTGAAGTTCGTGTCCTCTGGAAAAGAAACTCCAAATACTTTTGGGATATCCTCAGCTTCTTCTTGTTGTGTAGCTACCATCTTTGTCGCCATCCGCGAATACCTCGTAGACGTGCGTCTCTGGAAAAAGAAACTCGTCCAACGTTGATTTGACATTTTGAATGGGAGGTAGTTCCCTAAAGATGGGAAGCATAGGCTCAGCAACCCAATCGTAAAAATCATCCACTGTATACCCATCCAACTCAAACTGTTCAGCGACATCCAGGAAGAAGAGGTATTTCTCTCGTAACTCCGGTGAAGCGACGAATTGTTCGATTGAAAGACGCACGATGAAGCGGTGCTTGTGACACATCATTACGAATTCGGAGTCTGTGGATCGGTCGCTGAATGTGAATTCTAGGACACTCCAGAATGGCGTGTCGTTTATGGGTATGTCCTCCATTGTTCATGGGATTGGGCTGAGGTTTTTGTAACAGTTGTGAAGACAGAACAACAAGTTGGGATGAGTAGAGTACTCGTATATTTGCATGGGAGTATGGAACACGGACCAACGATTCCCCCACCGTCAATTTACTGAGCCTGATTTCACATTCCTGAGGATGTTTGTGAGCAAATGAGGAGGGCCGGTGCTTACTGAGAGGATGGACAGGGATACTATATCTTAGTTAGTATATGCTGAGATTTACAAACTGTTACCATGATGAGCTAAACGAGATGAAATTACAACAGAGGGAGTTAAAAATATACTGCTTGGACAGTAATGCTATTATATTAAGTATATATTTTTGTAACCAAATATTATACAAGCCATCTTTAAACAAAATCGGTCCTCATTTATGATGGAGATATTAAAGGGAGTAAGTAATTAGTCGTAGGTATCTCTATACGCAAGTCAAGCCAGAAAACATGTAGGAGAGAGGAAAGGCAACCATTGTCATCACTGTTTAACATCATCATCGCTGTCATCGTCGTAGGACACAGGGCTGACATGAACTTCCCAGAGCCGAGCCATGGCCTTTGGAAATTCGTCCTTGCGCTCCTGGCTGATCCAGTTGCCGTATTCTTCATGCGTCACCTTCTCAGCCAAGACACCCCTCATCTCGCCCCTATCCACAAGCTCATGCTGCGTACGCGAAGAGTTGACCCCGCGCGACGTGCGGAGGAAGTGCCAAAAGTCGTCCGTCACGCGGACATACTCTCGCAGGGCCTCCTTGGTGTTGAGCGTCGCGCCGGTAGTCCAGCTGAGCAGCAGGGGCTCGATCAGGGGCGCATCGGAGACGCTGGGGTGGGAGGTGCCAATGCTGGTGAGGAACCAGGACGAGTGGCTGGGGATGCGGTTCAGGACGCTGAGGGCGAGCTCCTTGACGGTGTCAAAGTGCGGGCGGCCGTAGAAGACGCTGCGTTGCTTGGACCAGGTGTTTGAGTGGACGATGAGGAGGGGCACGTCGATGACGGCGTTGAGAGGGCCGCTGGCCTTGCCAGGGTCGAGGATGATGCCCCCGACAGCAGGGTTGATGTCCGAGGGGGCGTGCTTCAGGGCCTGGAGAGCGCCGGTGGCACCAAACGAGTGGCCTGCGATGGTGAGGTTGCCAAAGTCGAGGCGGCCGGCCCAGTCGCCAAGGTGGGAGCCTTCAAGGCGGGAGTTGCGGCTGAAGATGTCGTCGCCTTTGCCACTGTTGATGGTGCGCAGGATGTTGATCGTCTCCAGGATTTCGGCATCTCGGAAGGCGAGCTGTTCACGCTTGTATCTGGCGGCGTCCATGGGAGGATCGGATAATAGCTCTGCTTCTCTAAAGGTAAGGAGTTTCTTGTCATCCTGTCCCTTGATCCTCATGAGAGAACCGGGACAGCTCCCGTCTCGGTGCTCTATTGCTGCGACGACGTACCCACGGCTGGCCAGCTCGCCGACGAAGTGAGTGTAGTCGGTCCTCGAGCTGGCATCGCCGTGAGAAAAGACCATGACGGGGAACGGCTCGGCATCTGTTGCCCCAAGTAGCGGCGCATCGACCTTTGCGGGGATGGTGATGCTGCCCGCAATGGCCCACAGCGCAAAGGTGAATATCGGCCGGACGATGAAGTTGTCGACATGGGCGAACTTTGCGTAACCAGCCGCCGTCAGGCTGATTGGCCTGGCAATCCAGTCATGCCTACGCCGGTGCTCCCTGACGCTCTTGTCAACGGGATAGTAGACGGTGAAGAGCGTCGTCTTGTGCTCAAACGCCGGCCGGCCGGTGTCCTTGAAGACGGTCTCGGACACCAGCCGCGGCTTGTCGAGGGCAATCTCGACGTCCACGGCGCCGACATGGTAAGGGCCCGAGTATGCCGGCAGCGGCGAGGCCAGCAGCGGCACGCCACGCACGAGACACAGCAGGGCGTACACGGAAACGAGCACAAAGGCTGCGTACCGCCAGCTCCGGCGAGGGCGCACCAGGTCAGCAAATGAGGCGAGAGAGCGGCGCCACCAGAACGTCCACCGGCTGCTCCGGTCGAGACGGAACCATCGCGGGGGACGAAGCCATTTCGGCTGCGTCTGGGCCGGGACGAGCAGTGGCGAGTCGGGCAGTGAGACGGAGTCGTGTTCCCGTTGCTGTTCCTGGCTTTGGTCTTGTTCTTGGTCTTGTTCTAGCACCGAGTCAAGCTCGAGCTCGGAGTCGTCATCCGAGTCGGAGACGGGTTTGGAGGAGATGAGGGGCGCGGATTTTGATTTGGAGGAAGAAGACATGATGAAAAGAGATGTGATAAGCTATCGATACATTGGAGAGTGAACGAGTTGTGGAGGAGTTGATATTTACGCCGTTATAATGAAAAGAGAGGAATTACTAGGCAGTATGTACAAAGTAGGCATTATGGATGTAGGAGTGAACAGACAGGGTCGTTCGATGACGTCGTCGGGTTTGGAATTTTTTGCGCCTGCCAATTCCATTCAACATGTCATTGAAAAAGGTACTTGCTTGTTTTAGGAAAATGGCCGTTGGTTCGGGTACCTGTCCGCCAGCCAGTGAAACTGGACGGCAGCCTCTCACCACGATTGAAAAAAAGGATTGAGTTATGAAATACGATGAGAAACTTAATAGAAAGTGAGTTGATGAGCAGATTAGATGACTCAAGAATAATATGCTTTTGATGAAAAAGGTGTGTTGATGAGCTGATTGTATCGATGTGCCTGATTATAGGGTAGCTTAGAGGCAACTGTGCTGAAACTCAATCTTGTGGCCATACCCTTTGGCTGCTGATACGCTCGGTTAGAGATATATGGTTAAGGTTAATCAAATGAATGCCAATCAAACAGTCCCTATTCTATCTACTGTAATCTCTTATGAATGAGCTTGCCAATGATTGTATTGTCTTTTGATATGGCTGCATATGCACGAGCCGGATGTGCTGTCTTACCACATGAGTACTCTCACCAGCTTAAGCATGCAAGGTAAATCACAGGCGTTAACAGCGTACGGACGTTGCCCACAGATGGTGAGAAACGCACCCATAGGCTGCAGGTTTATCTGTCAAATCAACTCACAAAGGTCGCTGGTTCCATCCACGAGGCCTCTCACCTCTCCTCCAAAAGAGAGAGGCAATTTAACAGTGACCTATTAGCAATGTTCTAGATATCAAATAATATCCGGCATTTGTGGGCCGTCCGTTCCAGAAAGCGCCACACCGGAACCAATCACCAATATATCGATACAGCTGCTCTCGCGAACATGCACCTCTCGCTTTTAGCTCTTTAGCTTCACGGCCTGCTCGGACAAAACAGACACATCCTCTTTTGCCGCGAGTGCATTAGCTCTGCAATGCACCGTAGGCACCGACGAAATGGGCTGCCAACATAGCTGGTTTCTGCTTTCCCGGCCTAAGCCGGGCAGCAGCCCTGAGATAAGAAGCTAAAGTGGGCTGAACTGAACTCCGGACTCGAATCGTCTCGCCAGTCAGCCCCAATGAGAAGACGAGGCGAGGCAAAAAGACTTGGGTGAGACTGGGGGCGGAACTGGGGATCGTCTTGCTTGCCCTCTGCACTGTGTATGAAAGACTGGACTGGATTCTTCGGCAGCATTCTTGCCGGCTTGCTATCATGCACCCAAGGAAACGTGCAAACTGCCGCACGAGCACCAGTACGGAAAGCCGTGTGAAGCTGAGAGGGTTTGGGATGAAGCCGGGATCCCCGCACTTGGCACGCTCAGCTCTTTCTTTGGGTCTATATATGGCATTCCAATATCAAAGACATCGGATGATGGTGTGTCACTGTAGTAGGCCTTCAACGGCCAAGTCCTGTCTGCACTCGTACTTGACTTGCTGCAGGCGAGAAAAGATGCACGGCTCCGTGGGATAGACACAGGCAAGCTGCAGCTGTGAGGTATGTTCAAGCAGAGTACTCGCACATGCCGTGGAGCATCCTGCGTCATCACAGTGTTCACCCAGACTTGTTGGCCGTTAGTCTATCCGTAGTTGCAGCAGAGCAGGACTAAAAGAAAAACAAAAAAACCATTGGGAGGAGAGGATTCGGGGTGAAGCCGGGCTGAAGGTGATTCATGCAAGTTGGATGCATGAAGCGGGCGAGTGGAGCGGCGAGGGATGGCTGGCGGCTTGGACCGAAGGGCTAGAGGAGCCTATCACACAGCCTGGCCGGCCATCGCGTGAGCCACAAAGAGAAGAAGAAGCAGAGCGGGGAGGGAAATGGGGATGAAGATGGCGGCTTACAGTATGAGTGCCATCAAATGGCCTCACCTGTCCGTGCCGTCGGTATTAGGCATTATCCTGTCTCGCCACACAGGCTATAGTAAATAGTAGCAGCCGGAGGATCAATAGTACTGCCGATGGCCAACACTGGTAGCCAGCTTGGAAGCAATATTGATAGTTTCATCTGGTGTAAATGCTAAAAGTACACTTGTAGCTTGGAGCACGACGGAAGAGGCACAGCAGCCAAACTCTGAACGACTGCGCCTTGGACGGGCCGCAGCGGGAACCGTGGCCTCGGGATGGCATGGCAAAACGCCAAGAGGCAAAAGAGAAAAAAAATCCATGGTTTCCCATCTCTGTGTCTGCGCCTCTCTCAGCCCGTGTGAAAGGTACATAAGATATCCCCAGGGCAAGTTTCTCTCCCCCCACCTCAAGCGGACATGGACACGCAAATACTAGTCACGCCGCGCGGTAGTTGTGTAATACGTGAGCACTGTAAAAGCAATCAGCCAATTCTGGTTCGCGAAAAATAGAAAAAGAGAATAATCCGGGTATAAGTCGGGGGGCCAAGTGGCGCGCATCTTGGCAAATGGAGACAAATATCCGTTCGTTGGTGGCCTCGAAGAGCCATTCAAGCCATTGCTGGGACAAGTACAGTTACAGTTACAGTACGAGTCCCATCAGCTTTCGGCCCCTCCATACCCCACAACAAACAGGGAACAGAACAAATGGAGAAGAGGCCACAGGGATTTGCGGATTTGCAAGAGGTAGTGAATGAAATGGGTAGTAGAAGAACGAAGAGGAAGGTCAAAAGCCGAGAGCAGTACTTGTGCTTCGTAATCCATATCCAGTTATCCCGTACGAGTATACTGACTGGCTGGCTGACTGGCTGGCTGACTGGCTGGCTGACTGCACGGCTGTACGAGATGTGTTCCCGCAAGAGGCCAGCCAAGAGTCATGACGTCTTATCGCACCACGACGATGGGCCAGTTTACCCAGGTAGGCAAGGCGCGCGGGAGGCCCTCTTGTGATAACGGGGAACGGGTGCTTACAGCATTGGGACGGAAGTGCAGAAGAAGGACGAGAGAAGATGAACAAATGAGCAGCAGTTGATACGAGCGCACAGCACAGCGCAGGGGGAGATTGCTGGAGCACCAAGCACAGTACTCAGCATGTACATCGATCCATACAGTACTGTACCCAGCATATGTAGCCGGCAGAAAGAGGCAATAAATGTGATCAGATGTGTCGGGGAAGACGGATTACTCCGTAGAAGCCCCAAACGGGCAGGCGGCGGGCCGGGGTGATGGATCAATTGAATCAACTGGCTTCTACGCATTCGTACATGTACATGCCGGCATCAATTGTATCGAAGTTGATCGGAGTACTGTATGTACAATGGACGCTGCTGCTTAATATAACAGCCCCCAATCCCATGGAATCACGGCAGCTGTCCAGACTCCTTGTAAGGCTGAGCGAGCAGCATCTCATCTCACCCTCGCACCTTGTGGCAGACAGGATGGACTTGATAGATTGATCCGTGGCCTCGCTGGAGAGCTGCATCCAACAACCGAGTGTCCCAGCCTTGCTGCTCCCGCGGGTGGCTGCTGTAGCTCCCCCGGGCTGCACCGCACCGTGCTGCATCGACTTGCTACTGTCCCGCATGACTCCAAGAAAGAAAAATTGGAGGGCCCCAGAGCACATTGCCATTCCCAGCTGCTACAGCCAACGAGGGGTCGAATGCTTCGTTACATAGCTAGAACCTGGTTATGGTAGCAATGCTAGTAATTCTCCAGCTGTCATATTGATCTTTAGTACTGAGTGTAAGTGCCTGTACCTTTACTCGACACGTCCGTGTCCCGGTTTCCCTTTCTCTCTCGTTTCTCTCGTCTCTCCGCCCATCTGCGCCAAGATCGAGCCATCCGTGGTGGAGTTGCGGAGCAGCAGGTAGCGGTACAAGGGCCGATACAGGTCCTGGGTATTCGGATATGACACTTGACGGATTTCTTCTCCTCATCTTCCAATGTTCCTTTTTCCTTCTTCCGTTCATGTCAGGTGGCTGGCTCTTGGGTAGGATAGGATACCACCAGGTAGTAGTACAAATGGTAGAAATGCCAGGCTCAAGTCAAGCATGATCAAAACGAACCGAGTACTACCTATCAAGTGAAGTCAAGGCGAGACTCGGAGACTTAAACCCGGTACCAGGTTGCCAGGTCCATCACCTCTCACTCCAGCATCCAGAAAGAACATGGATCGACCAAATTAATGCAGTCAACGGGTGCCTTGTTCCAATGTCCAACAAGCGGCAGTCACCTGCAATCCAATAACAATCTAGTAAAAAGGGCCAGCTGCAAACATGAACATCCGTGGATATCCATACAGTGTGCTGTAAATCTTCCCTGCATCGCTGCTCAAAGACCTTGATGGATACAGATGGTGCATTTCCAACAAATCCAGTCCATTTCTTCACAGCCTCCGATAGGCCTGTCAGCCACTGGCCCGTAGCGCTCTCTCGTACTGTACAAGCAGCACAACGGGGGCTTGTACAGGTACCGTACAGTGCTGACCACGGCACCACCTGCCTGTGCTCGCTGCATCCTCTGGCCACTTTCAGTTCATGTCAAGTTTTTTTTTTCTCTTCCCCCCTACTTGCATTTTTTCCCTCTCCTCCATCACGAATTTCTTCGTTCCGCCTTGGCCTCTGTGTAGCGCCGCTCTCAATTTTTTTTTTTTTGCCCTCAACTGCGCTTCTCTCTCCTCTCTCTTCTCCTCTTACTCCTCTCTTCTCTTTAGACTCAACTTCTCCAGTACAGATACAGCAGCGCCTTGTCCACCAAACAATCTGCGCGCTAAGCCGGTTCCCGCTGTCCAGAGCTGGTTTGGCTCGGCCCCGCTTCGTCTTCATTTCTCCCGAGACCCCTTTACTTGACGATTTGACGCCTCTGCATTTTCGTCGCGCCGCGGCTTTTTTTTTCTTTTTCTTTTTCCTCTCTCTCTGTCCTCCTTCGCCCGACGAATCCTAGCCGACGCCCAAGCACGGCCGTGTCCTTGTTTCCCCCGGGGGTGAGTGTCTCGTCTGTTCTGTCTGTCCCGTCTCCTCTGGCCCGGCTGTGAGGCTGAGCGGAAATTTGCTTTGCCACGACATCTGGTCCCTCTCCCGCATCGCTTGATCCAGGCCCTCGCTTCCCCTCTACGGTACGGGCCTCGTTGGGCCTGGCCTGGCCTCTCGCTGCAACAAGTCACTCTTCCTCCTGGAGACGTCGCATCTTCAGCGCCCACCCCGGCTGAAAGTTCCAAATCTCTTGGCCGTGGGGAACCTGATATGACGCTGTTTTCCATATTCCATGGCCCCACAAATAGCATTTGACCGCAACTTTTGATGGATTTTATCTCGCATCCTCACCACTAACACTCTTTGAATCTCTAGCCCAAAAGATAGTCGTCCATCGCCATCGCCGCCGTGTCTCCGTCCCTCGACCGATTCCTGTCCCCGACGCAAACAATGTCCTACTACGACAACCCCCAGTGGTCGGCTCCGGCCCAGAACAACTGGGACCACCACGGCGCGAGCACTCCTGTTCGCGCAGGTACGTTGCGCGCCCTCTTCATCTCTGTCTTCGACATGGGCGCCGCGACTAACGAGTTGATGCCCACAGGTGCCAACGGACCACAGCCCCAGGATGACTATGCCTTTTCGTATCAATTTGATGGTACGTACAGACGGATGGTGGCGTTTCCGACCCTTGGTGCAACAACGTCGCAATTGTTTGAATCTTCTTTTTTTCCTTTTTTGGGTTGCTGGCATGAGTGCGCCACATCTGCCACTCCTGCCGCTCCTGATACCAGGGAATTTTGGAAATTTTGGCTCTTGCGATGACACCTTGCGGGCCTCTACTTCTTCTTCTCTCTCTCCTCGACTTCAGCATGATGATCTAGGATAGCTGCTAACTTGTTGATGTACAGAGGTTGATCGTGCCCACGAGAACTTGCAGAAATCCGGCAAAGGCTATGTCATGGGTGCGCGACGTGAGTTTTCCATGCCCTACTAGCTGTCGCTGGTTACAAAAGAAGAAAAAAAAACCAAACAAATCCCCCTCTTTTCCTCTCACCCCCATTCCTACTTGTCGTAAGTAGCCAAGGGCCTCGAGCAGGCCCTCAGAAGAGTCCTATGGCTAACCACGTAACTCTTGCCCCCTTATAGATGGTCGAATGGGTGGTCCTCGTGCTCATTCTGTGAACAACTTCGATGACACTCGTGGCTCTCAGGGAGCAAACCTCCACAATTTCTATGCCGCCCAGCGTCACCAGTCTTCTCGAGGCTCCAACGAGGCGGAGCAGGTCATGCAGGCTAAGAGAAGGATGGCAGCTCAGCGGGAGCGTGAGCTTCGAAACCTCCACACGGAGCAGCAATATCAACGAAGTAGGCCTCCCTCAACTGTGTAGCACTTCCTATCTTCCTATTCAAAGGGGGTTCCCAAGCCAGAAAAAAAAATAATTAAAAAAAATGTTATTGGCCAATGGGGTGGTTCAAGATGGACACCTGCCTGTCTCGCCGAGTCTTTGTCTTTCTCACCCCGAGCCATTTTTCGTTGCCGGGAAGGCCGTTCCTTTTCTGAGATGGCATCTCGGGTTCTGTTTTTTTGTTTGGATTTCTCTTGTCAATTGTCTACGTCGTGTTTATGGTTCAGCGTCGAGGATGGTGGGCAACACGTGCTAACGACTCTTTTTCTTCTGACGTAGGTGTCTTGTCTGATGTTGCCACCCAGCAGGGAAACAACAAGCATATGACGGAGGAGGAGACTCGTGAGCTCATTGCTCGCCAGCGCAGCGCTCTGTATGGAGAGGGCACCTTTGCCGACAAGGCCGGCTACATTGACGAGACTGGCAACATCCGCACCGGAGCTCCCGGTCCCAGCGGCCCTGCCAGCCTGCGAGGCCACTCTCCCCTTGCCTATGACAGTATTGGCCGCGTCCCGGCCGACGTTGGAACTCCGGGATCGGGCGCTGATCTCAACGCGGCTGACTTGGGCTCGCGACCTCAGAGCACCACCAGCCCTCAGACCGCTGGACCGACAAACAAGGTGTTTGACAACGCCGTCGGCTCCCAGAGCCGTACCAGCACGTCCAGCCCGACCAACGCGTCTCCTCCCCGCGGCGACTTTGGACCTGGTTCCAAGGTTTCTCAGGGAGCTGCCGTTGCCCCCATTGGAACTCGTCCCACTGGAACGCCTACGGGCAACGCTTCTGCCAAGCGCTCTAGCACTCCCCATGCTGCAAATGGCGGCTGGGGCCGCGGTAACGGTGTTTGGGGCCAGTCGTCTGGCCTCGGTGCTCAAGCCAGCGTCTGGGGTTAAAGTCAGTCAGTTTATCATTTGCGGCGGCGTTGAAAGGCGGTTGTAACCTTTTTTCTTTTTCTGTTTTTCTTTTTTTCGGCTGGAGGAGCAAGGTGAAGAGCAAGTTGAATTGTTGCATTAGTAGAAAAAAACCAAAGGCGCTGGGGAGGCAAGGGAATGGAATCATTGGCATTTTCGTTCGGTCATTTTTGGTCAAGGCGGTTGATTTCGGTCTTCGCGTTTTGTTTTTTCGCTGGGTAGTCTTTGGTACGATATTCGGCGAAGAAAGGTATTGCGAGGCATTTCCGGGCGATTACGACAAAGGCAAAAATAAGGGGGAGGGGAGGCTTGCTCTACTCTATACCTGGGATCTGGAATTGGGATAGCCTGTTGGGTGAACTCGACAGAGGAGCAAGGGCATCCGGGTAGGAGTTTTTATCTTGCTTTTGGCGCAGGATTGGGACTGGAATGAGGAGTTGCGTCCTTGGTTGCGACAGCGGCGTATCCTTTTTTGAGTTTTGGCGACTCGATTTACATGCGGCGGTGGGATTACAAAATTGAACAGGAGCACTTTGGAGAGCGTTGGCTGGGAGAAGGAAAGGGGGATCGTTGGCTGGAGTCGGCTATGGAGTAAGTTCATTTGCTGGCAGGGAAACAAAATTTGATGGTCGATATCCGGGATATATGGAAAGGCGTTCCATTGGGCTACCGGTAAGACTGGCAAAGATGGAAAACAAAAAGTACACGACATTACGCCTTTGCTGGCTAGGATCTTGATTTGGGGGACATGGAAACGGGGATGTTCTGGTGCTCAAAAGGACCCGAGAAAAAAACAACAGAAAGAACTTTTTTAAAAAGCGGCACAAAGAAACAAAAGACATAAAACGGTGGGTGAGAGAAAAAGGGGAGGAGTTGAGCACGAAGCGGGAACTCTTTGGGGGGTGGTTTAGGACTTGGCTTTCCTTGTGTTGTTTTTCTTTCTCTTCTCTACTGGGCGGCTCTGGGAATAGGCTTGGGCTTCTTTTTTTCACGGATTCTTTTAAGGGAGCGGGAATATGGGTTTTGCTATCAAGGGGGGGTGTTGCTTTCAGTGTTGACAACGGTGTGCTTCCTTTATATAACTTGGGGGAATTACAGGCGCAAGTCCACTTGATTGGTGTGGGAAAGACGATAATTGGGGGCAATTTATAGGAAACCTCTTTTTTTAGTTGCAAATGCTAGCAAAGATAATGGGAGAATTGGGTTTGGGAAAACGTGCTCGAGTTTTTGATTGATTTTGAACTATGGTATACCAGGAAGTCATCACGATTTACGAAGATTGATGATATACGAAGATTGATATATATATGAACAAGGAGTAGCTATACAGAATCTCGTGTCTTGACGTTATTATATATGATGATGTATATATCAGTTAATCCGTATATGACAATGTATAGCTACAGCCCCTATGCTTGATCAAAACATACCAGATATTCGAAGAAGAAGAAGAAGATGATAACAGATACTCCAGGAAAGCTGCCGTAATAGCACATGAAGAAAGACATTGGCAGTGGCAGATACTCAAAGAACCATATAGATAAAAACATATTGCATCTATATCTAATCCTGCAGATATAGGTCGCCGGGGTATCGAATAGCAAAACTAGAGTGCTGGATAATAACAGCACCCCCTTTAAATATGTACACGAATCTTCCCATCTTCACCACAATGGTCTCACATCGCAATCACAGCATCAGCAGCTTCGCCCCCTCATCCAAATCCATCACATCATCCGCACTCGTCGCCTTGCCGCCCCAAACAACAGTCCCTCTCCCATCCACCGCAAACGCCCCCGCCTCCTGCCACTTACTCCCCAGTTCCGTCAAAGAGCCGTTCTCCGTCGTCTCCTCAACAACCCCACGCCCCTTTCTCGGTTCCGTATATCTCCCCGCCATCTCTTTACTCCTGCTGTTACTTCGCTGAATAGCCCCGGCTACTCGGTCTCCCAGCCAGCCCGTTTCCTTCCACGATTGGACTTGGGTCGACGGGCTGAGGACGTACCAGATGCTGCTTGCGGTGCCGAGGCCCCAGGCGGCATAGATGGAACGTTCTTGGTCGATGACGATCTGGACGTTCCATGAGCCGCCGAGCAGGTCGATCCATTTGTATGTGGCTCGTTCGGACGAGTGTGAGACGGCGATGCAGGTGATGGAGCCGGCATGACGGTTTGCTATTGCGCGGAGCTTGAGGAATGTCTTTTGGGCGACTGTATATGTATATGCCTTTTCGTTAGATGGGTTCAAACTTATATCGTGATAAACGCATATATGGATAACAAAAGCAGTTTAACCACACATGATTATGACAACGTCAAGGAATTACATATAAAACTTACAAGCACATCCAACACACCGCAGAAACACAACTAGGCACTTTGTCTTCCCTCCCAGCTGAAGCCTCCTCTGCCGATCCAGCGGCGCAACTTGTCCGATCCGAGGCACCGGCGCCAGCTTTACCGGAGGCGGCGGCGGAGACAGCCAAGGGGTGACTTTGAGCGGCAGCGACGTATTCGACATCCATGTGCCCCAGGCGCCGCCGCCCTGAGCATTATCTCCGGTACCTGTGCGTTTTCCTGTGCTTGTCTGGGACGGCGCGGCGAGTGCTGACAGGTCCAGGTCTTTGCTCGAGATGCCGACCTTTTTCAGGGCGAGCTTTGTGCTGAGGCTGGAGAGCATGGCTGAGTATGTCTGTGTGTATGTGTGTATGTGTATTAGGAGGCAAATGAAAG